CCGATTCACAGATATTTTTTTTTATATTTTTATTAGATGCGCCTCAATAAGATGTATATACCCTGCAAATTTCATGTCATTATGATTTGTAGAAAAAAATAAAAAATAACAGACAATCGTGATCACGTGATGAAATTTGGAAGGTGATGAAAGTAGGCGAAATCACTATTTATTTTCGCCTATAAACGTTGGAATATATATATATATATATATCCAAAAGGTTTTCCGACACCAAAATGATAAGTAGGGCAAAAGGTAAACTCCACCACCCTTTTATAATTCCTCTTGCCCTTTCCATAAATTTTTTGCCTATCTCCATGTCCTAATACCTGCCTCTTTTGTCTTTCTACATGGAGTTGGGGACAAGGAGTAGGGTGGTTGGTGGTGGGTAGGAAAGGGGTGGAATGGTTTTCTTCAAGTAAAGTAGTACAATCATGCATTCTCTCATATTTCAAGGATTACTTGGGATCATTACCTTTTCTCAGTAAGTCACACTACAATAAGGCTTTTAACTCTTAAAAAAGTTTTTGTTAATATTGTCCTATAGAAGTAAGTCACCCCCTCAATAACCCACATGAAAAGGTTGTTTTGTTGTTGAAAAACTCTCTAATTGATCATCTCGATCTCAAGATCTATGGATATGGAAAACAGACGAGTTCAAATTCTGAAAATAGTACATTTTGTAACAAATTATCTTGATTGCTTATTTTTAAGTTTTTTACGTATTTGTAAATTTACTAGATCTACAACAATTTTTTATCTTCACATTTCATACCTATGAGTTCAAATAGAACTTTAAGTCCTCTAAGGGGTTTTCGCCACTGAAACTGCATCATCCAGCAAGGTATCAAGGTATTGAGGTTTAGTGCCATGTTTTAACTGCAACCTCGAACTTTTGATACAAAAACAAAGCCATCATCACTCTTAGCCACCAAATGCAAAATCAAGTGCAAGGGATGTGCTATTGATTGTACTAAAATAAATTTAAAATATTTCTTTGTAAAAAGTTATGCCCCAATTCTACCTTTGATGGCTAAGAGTGACGTTAAATACCCTCACCACATGCCATAAACTTGTTGTCTACCATGTTGCCTAATTTAAATTACAATAAATGGTGATTATGTTAAAGAATTGTTCTCTCTAGATGACATTTTTAAAAAAATTTAATTTGACTAACTCAGAGTTACAACCCCTCCATTTGATACACTATTTGCAAATGAATTTTTTGGTCTTGCACCTTCTCTTTAGTGAAAAAAAAAGAAAAAGAAACCAAATTTATCAAAATGCACACGAGAAATAAACTATGTTTAAGTATTTAATTGAAATATAGATAACCAACATATTACATGTATGTTGGTAAATTTTCCATAAAAAAGAGACAAAAATAAATAGATAGGCACCTTTTTTTTATACAAGTATATGGCTAGGAAATGCATACAATAAAACCATTATTTTTTTTCACGAGGAAGTAAGAATCATTTTTAACTATTAGATTTGAAATCAGGAGCCTGAGAGTATACCATTGAGTAGGCTCAGGGTACAAAATTAAATTTCTCAAGCTTTATAACATACCTAAAGCTATTTGATTTGACATTTCATGACTTTGAATTAGTTATTTAAAAGATGTACTCTCATAAAATCCAATACCACGCTACAATGCACTTCAATTTCATGGTCAAGAAAATAAACCGCCTTTCTCTTTCTAAGAAAACGATGAGAGCAGCTTAGTACATGCTTATTAATATTCAAAGAAAAGAAAGGTTATAGCTTTGCACACCCTTTCAAAACCTGAAATCTCCATTTACCCTCTCCTCTTTTTCTACCCTCTCTTCTTCTTCTTCTACATTATTCTTGTGCTTTAGTCCTCATGCTATTTTATTGTCTCTCTTTCTACTTCCTCTCTCTATAGCTTTCATATTATGCACTTTATCATCATGAATTTTTTTTTTAACTATTTAAAGTTGGTTACAAGAATCTTGATTTTACATTTCACTTTAACGAAAGCTATACTAGTAGTGATGTTATAAATCTTTATATATTTTTTTACCACTTCTAAATATATATTTTTTACTTTTTTTTTGTCTTTTCACTTAACCTAACTCACACCTTGTAACAGATATTGTACTAAGTTTGTTATGCACTTCATCCTGTATACTTCATATCTGATACATCTATTACTTGCATAATCTCCCTCTTAGTTTTTGCATTGAGTCTCTCTCTTCGAGTAGGGTTTTGTCCTTATTCTCTCTCCTCTTTCTCTCTCATGACTTTAAGTCTGTCTCTTTCTCTCTCTCTCCGAGCAGGGTCTGGTCATTGTATCTAAACCCACTAGATCGTTCCATCTATTATTGGCCTTTCACTCTCTCTCTCTCGTGACTTTTTCCCAGGAATCTCTCTCTTGACAAGTCTTTCCCATGATTTTCGCCGTAACAAGGTGGTTCATTTGGTCCCGCATTGGAAAGTCACGTGGTCCTCTCTACTCTACATCGTCACTATCAAATCCCCCTTCGTTCTTTTTTTGTGGCTTTTTTTAGTCACTCACTTTCGCTCACTTCTCTTCCGTTGCTTGGCTTCAGCTTTCTTCCCCTTAACCTCACTCTTGAGTCAAATAAGTAGGGTTAAGGGATTGTATTCTTTTATTGTACGTCCATGGATGCATGTGCTGACAGGTTTAGCAATCAATTGAAATAAAGTGTTAACGATGAAAAGTTATAAATTAAGCCGTTTGAATGGACGATTGAGATAATTTATTTAGGTGATTGATTTTGAGTTGTTTACAATATTGTATTATTATTATTTAATTTATAAAATATTGTGCTCCCATATAATATGCGTACATAATAAAAACAATATTCGATTGATAAAAAAATTGACTAAAATATCTTCATATTTTTTTTATAGTAATTTGTTTATTTTATTTGACCTAAAATAATATGTTTTTATCCAGTATGTTGCTATAAGGAGTGATACGCCCCCAAAATTCAAGTCCATATCATCATCACTATCATCATCTAAGTGTTATCCTACTATACAGTCATATTCTGCTGTTCAATTCTATCAAGTCATGCCTTCAACCATACCATAAAACATAATATATCTTCTCCTTACTTCCATCTATCTATTTTTAGGTTTTTCTTTTGCCTTTTTAAAGCTTTCATCTTGACCCAAATCGCTCATCTTAATTAGTATTGTTCCGGGTGGATGTCGTACATAGCTAGCCACTTAAGTCTACTTTCTTTTGTTTTATCGCCTAATGAAACCGCTCTTGCTAAGTTTCCTCAAATATATTCACTAGTATATGATCTATTAAAAATAAAAGTATAACTCAAGCTATCTCAGCAGCCCAATTATCCACTCACTCCGGAGGGTGAAGTATTATCTATTAGTATTTTTTAGGACCGGCTTTTGACGTCCACCAACCCCAAAAATTAAATCATGCTCATCCCAGTGTTCAAAAACTCAAATTTTGGTTTGTAGTAAATCTAGCCAAAATCCCAAAGCTTTTTCATCTATATATATTCTAATGGGTGTGGTTTGTACGGGGTTGAGGCCCTAACCAATTGAAGTAAGGTGCAACTTCAAAATAGTACCAAAATATGTTGTTTCACGATCATAAATATTTGTGATGGCTTGAAATTTTTATTTTTACATCTAATGATACAATTTAAAGATTAAAAAGGATTGTAAATTGAGCAGGTCAATGAACACTTGAAAATGTAAAAAATTGGAAGTTGAATAATCAAGATACACTATTTTCGAGATTTGAAATCAATTTTTTCTCATTTTTATACATCTTGAGGTGGGGTTGATTGAATTGAAGGTTTTTTAGCATCAAAACTAACCTTTTTTTTTTTTTTTTTTATGAAGTTTTGAGGTACACCTTAATTTGATTGTTTAGAGCCTCACCCTTATATAAACTTTTTCTTACTCTAAATAGGTTTTTTTGTCCGACGACATATACTTACAGCATGGTCCCGTGACAGCACGCTAGAATGAGACCCCTCTAAAAACCTAGCGCGACGCCCCAAAAACACCTCCCTCCAAGGTAGACCCACCCCACTAATCATGACACGTGTATGAACGGCGGGCCCCACATTTGTAGGTCCCACAATACGACGTGGCATTGACACGTTCACATCCACATAGGACTGTGGTGGACCCGCCTTCGAAGCTGGTTTGACTTAGAATAGAACAGATCAGATCAGAGCTAGCCCGACACATTTATACATGCGTCCGACTATTTTCTTTTTTTTTTAATTATTAAAATATCATCATTTATCATTATTTTATATAACTTAATTGTCCGTTAAGTTAAACTTAGCTTCTCTAATTTTGCCCATAGGTCTAAATTTTAGAGAGAGAAAGAGAGAGTGAGGAGAGAGAGTGATAGGGGCCACTGACTGCTCTCCCAACTAAGTAAGCCAGAAGCTTACTCGACCTTTAATGGCGGATCAATAGAAATAATTACTCATTTTTAAGTTTATTTTTCGGAATTTGAGGTATTTTTGTTTTTTATTTCTTTTTTCTTGTAAACTCGTTGTTAGATTATTTGATTGGATATATGGGACACGGAAATGATGGTTTTGTGGACATTGTCGGATAAAGTTAGGGTTTCAAGATTAGGGTTTTGCAGTGATTACTCCCTGAATTAGGGTTTTCTTTAACAGCCTCTGGCGCTCTTTTGTGGCCTTATTCTTTTGGCGATGTAGCTAATTTAGGGCAAAAGTGTTTCCCTAAAGTGATTTTGTACCATTTTTGCAGAGATTATTGGCGATTTATGGTTTTCGAAGGTAAATGCTGGATTAGGGGCTGGACTTTCTTGGGTATTGGCTTTTTCACGCTTTGTGAGGTATCATAGTGGTGAATTGGCTTTCGATGCATCCTAAAGTGTAAAGTGTACAAGATTTTCACTTGTTCCATGTACTGGTGAATTTTGGTCACAAATCAGGAAATGCGTCCGTAGATTTCGAGGTTTTCTGTGGCTCGCGTGAAAAACTGGGGTTACAGGCGTATAGTACCATCCGAGAAATGCGATTTTGGATTTTGGTTTGCCACTGAAGTGTTTGCAGGCATTCATCACTTCATGATAGGGGATGGCTTACAGCGATCATATGAGAAATTAGGGTTCTTTGAGACTGGTGAGTCTGTTAGTTGATCGGTGTTTTTCAGTGTTTACGTTGGATGGTGGGAATTTACTTGGAAATTTGGGCTGATACATAAGTGTTTTTCCTTGTTGACGCTGTTTTTGTCTGTTGTGTAGTTCAGAGAAGAGGTTTTGGGGGTTCGGTGTTTGATAGTCAGTGGCCATCAGAAGAGAGAACAAGGGTTTCCCCAATATTCATTTTGAGATCTGGTTTTGATGGGTTTTGTAGAAGCAAAAATTAGTATACTTTACTTACAGTGATCTGTTCTAAATGGTTTTTGTGGATATTCTGAGAAATTGGGCATTGTTTAAGATGCCTCACCTGTTTCTATACAAGAAATCACGGTATTGATTTGTTCGGTTATCGGTTGTTGGGCTTTTAGATGAGGGATGGGTTGTGTATTTGGTAGAGAGGCAGTTGGGGGGGTTACCCATGAAGAGAGAGATATAGAAAAAAGCTCTTCAAATGTTTTGTCATCGGCGAGAAAGTCACAAATTTCAGTTCCAAAGATTGAGAAAATTGAGGTCCAAAATGGGGATCAGAAGAAAGAGGAGAAACGGGAGGTAGGTCATGCAAAGGAGAGACGAAGGTCTCGGGCAAACCCTAGGCTGAGTAACCCTCCTAAGAATATACAGGGAGAGCAGGTTGCAGCTGGTTGGCCTGCTTGGCTTTCAGCTGTTGCAGGGGAGGCCATTAAAGGATGGACTCCAAGGCGGGCTGATACTTTTGAGAAGCTGGATAAAGTGAGTTCTCTAACTAGTTTTTGTTGATGAGAGCTGCCGTCATTTATTCATTTTGTTCATTTGGTCATTTTCTTTGTTCTCTTTTTTTGCGTTGCTAAATTTGTACTTCTTTCCTTTTCCTTAATTGGAATCAGCAGTGTAATGAACAGCTTTGATTTCTGTTGAGGGTGAGATTAATTTCAAATGCTTTGAAAAGCTTTTTATATTGTAAATTTTTTAAATAAGTTATGCGTCTTGATTTGTTATCTGGTTGTATATCTAGTTATATTTTCTTGTAGCAAATCTCCCACTTTTCATTCTTTCTTTTTGTTTTGGAACAAGTGAAGTGATGAAAACTGTTGATGGCCTTTAAGGATGACATGGCTCTTTATCTCAGTATCTATTTATAACCCATCCTCTCTTCCCTTGCTCTCTTTTGACCCATGTGGGTAAGTGGATTGGAAAGCTTTCTCTGATGGCATGGTCAATTTACATTTTTTCCTTTTTAAATGGAGACAAGCCATTGATGGTTATCTTTTACTAGAGCCCTATTGGCTACTGGTTGTAGCTGTGCTCATTTCTATGACTTAAGTTAGTATATTGGGGAACTTTTGAGGCATTTCTGGGGAACTTTTGAGGCAGAAAGGCTTCTCTTTTGCTCTGCGGAAAATAGATAGGAATGTAAACAACAAAGATTTAAATGTCGTTAAGCCTTTATTTGAAGCTTAAATTTCCATTTATGAGACTTTATTTCTCGTAATTGATAAGCCATTAAGTTGGATGTCCTTTATTCATATCTTAACTTCCTCAGTCATTTGCTCTTCCTCCAAGACTTGTTAAAGTTGGGTCTTTGGTAGTCTTTTGTTGTGCTTTACTTTGGTTAGATTTGATTTGATTGTAAATCATACAACTAAATTTCCAGTCTTCATCGTAAGAATGACCTTTTGGATGGCACATTTACTTCTTGCAGATTGGACAGGGAACTTATAGCAATGTTTACAAAGCTCGAGATTCTTTGACTGGAAAAATTGTTGCTCTGAAGAAGGTTCGTTTTGACAATTTAGAACCTGAAAGTGTGAAATTTATGGCAAGAGAAATTCTCATACTGCGACGACTAGATCATCCGAATGTAGTGAAGCTGGAGGGCCTAGTGACATCGAGAATGTCGTGTAGTTTATATCTTGTTTTCGAATACATGGAACATGATCTAGCAGGACTTGCTGCTGCCCCAGGAATCAAGTTCACAGAGCCCCAGGTTAGCCCTGTAAATTATTATTTCGATCTGTTGAGTGCTTGATTCCATTTAAAATCCACCACCACTACCATCATCATCGTCTTCTTTCCTTCTTGCTTTTGATATTATACTGGACTCAGCATGTCTTATATGCATCCAAATTTTTACTGACATATGCTTGGGGCGTAGGTCAAATGCTATGTCCATCAGTTACTCTCAGGCCTCGAGCACTGTCACAACCAAGGCGTCCTTCATCGAGATATTAAGGGTTCAAATCTTCTACTAGACAATGGGGGGATATTAAAGATTGCTGATTTTGGACTTGCTTCCTTCTTTGATCCCAACCACAAGCAGCCCATGACTAGTCGGGTTGTTACCCTCTGGTACCGGCCTCCAGAGCTTCTTCTAGGAGCAACCGATTATGGCGTTGGTGTTGACCTCTGGAGTGCAGGTTGCATTTTGGCAGAGTTACTGTCTGGGAAGCCCATCATGCCTGGGCGTACAGAGGTCGTTACCAATCTCCCTTCAACATAGTCTTTCTCCTATGTGAAGATGGCCTTCATGTTTGTTAAGCGTTTTGTCAATTGCTATATTCCTGATGATCATCTTATGACCAAAAGTAAAAAACAGAAAAAAATGTGCTATCTTTTCACATAAAAGAATTGGATGGTCTGGAACTTTGATGTTCAATTATGTTTCCTTGAATACGGTCCTCCTTGTTTATTTATTTTATCTGTTACATATTGTTTCTTGAATAGTTTTCTTTTATCTAGCTATTTCTGTTGGAATTATTTATGATCATTGCCCACTATGCTCGATCGTTTTGAATCCCCATGCCTGCACAGCTCAATCTATTGAAGCAATGCCCATATGTTAGTCTATTATGGAAAGAATTGTTATTCCAGCTTGACTAAACTAGACCGCTGACGGAAGGATTCCTGGACTGGACTGACTTACCTAAAGCAAGGAAGGCAAGACGGACAAGGCAAGACAAGGACGGACAGGAACAGGCATATCTATTCTTACTCAATCAAGGCCAGGTACGGACAGGAACAGGCATATCTATTTCTTACTCAATCAAGGCCAGGTACGGACAGGAACAGGCATATCTATTTCTTACTCAATCAAGGCCAGGTACGGACAGGCACAAGTAAACATGCGAGTATGAAGCCTATATTACAAAGGATCAAGGTGGGCCATAAGCTGAAAATGGGAGATATGTCCTATATGGGAAAATGTTGTGAACATCTCAAACTGTCCGCCCTTCACCACTTACGTCACAAACCCACTAAACACTTTGGGCATTATTCTAAACAAGAGGGGCAAAGAGGTTCACCCTTGCTCAGTTTCTTCTAGCTGCATAAATAACCTTTGCAGTTTTTATTCAACCCTACACAGAAGTCAGGTGTTGCTACAAAGATTTGTTCCTTTTTCCACTGGCTGCTTCCCCATCCTTCTCAGCACCACATGATCTAGACACATCCTTCATATACACCTCGTAAAATGGGTGGTATTTACTCCCATGGCTCATCTGGGTTTTCTTTGCCTCTAGCAAATGATCAGTTGTGACAGGAATGATGCAACCACATTCTGCTTGCTAGTACCTTGTCAGAGATCTTGCGAAGACTCCTTACTAAGTAATGGGCTTTAACCATGACTATCTTCTGCATCCCCATTTCTGGGAATATCATTATGACATAATAGTCACATTCCTCCCCTATCGACTGTGGGTGTGAACTTCCATTGAAAGCTGTGTTTACAACATTGCAACACCTGTGACTAGCTAAACTGAAGCTGGTAGGTCCCAGTGTTATAAACCGTACCCTTTCACTCATACACATACATAAAGCACAAACACATCCATTCGAAGTATCTTATTTCTTACCTCCTCAAACTTGCTCCCAGATCCCTTCTTCAACACCTTTTGTATCAGATCAAATTCTAATTTGTCCAATCCTGGACTCTGAGTTGGATTCTTTTCTATTTAGTACACATATTATTCTTCATTTCTCATTTCTCGATCATTTGATACCTTTATGAATGGCCCAACTCAAACTTTCTTTATTGGATGATATTGATTGATAAAGTTGGAAAGAAAAAAGTTGGAATTAGGTATCATTTAATACTAGGAACTGTGATACAAGCGCAAAAATCAAGATGTTTGAAACACTAGTACATTGGAATGACTTGTTCTTCTGTAATCTGCTGGACTAGAATTTTCATTTAAGTCCTTTTCAGCTTACTCTGGTAATCTCTTAGTAGTCACAATAATCTGGTTATCTCATGAGATCATGTACACTAGCATTGAATTTGTGCAGATATTTTCTCTGTGTTTCCTTGGCATCAACTTTTTCTACTTATATTATATCTATTGCCTTCACACTCTTGAATTTATGTTTGTTCCCTAGGGGTACCACTTGCATGAATATGCACTTTTTTGTCATTCTGAAATGATCTAAAGTTCAGCCAAAGTTCATGTGTCAAAAAAATGCCTTACCAGCATGTTGAGCAGGTTCGGCCCGCCCCGTCCCGTTTTTTTTTTTTACATCTTTTTCCCTTTGGTTCTCTTTAATTTACCCGGCTAGGCCAGGCCCGGCCGTTGCCAGCCCTATTTATAAAGTACTAAAAGGAAAAAGGAAACCTTGTTTGGATTTGGTGGACATATATCATGGTGTGCACTGTGGGCACTTCAATGAACTTGTAAACTTTGACACAGTAGTGGCTGGAGCCATGGCTTAGGTTCCAGATGTCATACTTGGATAGGACACTAGGTCGTAGATTATGATGTGCAGATACGATTTGGACGTGCTACATCACAATACGTTTTGGGGCTATTTTACATGTGCTTTTAAAGCATCCACCATGGCACCATGGATACATCTCCTATTTTCAAGTGTCCATGCATTGTAGTGATAGTTTTTCAACTCCTTTACCTGCATATGCATCCAATATATCAATTTAACATGTAATTCACAGTATATCAATTTAACATGTAATTCACAGAAAAAACATTGAACTACTTCTAAGATTTTTTTTCGCTACAGCTTTGCCAGTCTGAATCAAAACTTTAGATCTTAGGCTGAACTTTGGCTTTTCATTTTTTTAATTAACTTGTTTTTGAAATTTCGGCCAAGTCACAGCCAAAGTTTAGAGTTTGTAAAGATTACAATTTATAAAACAAAGTTAAATATAAATGCTTTCCTAAGCTAAATATAATTGCTCTCCTTTCTTTTTCCTTATTGTTTTTGATAAGTGAAGTGACGTGAAAAGGTGGGGATTTGAACCCACACCCTCTTTAAAGGTGGTAAAATACTCAAAACACCCAATGCATGAGCATGGATACATCTGCAGTCATAGTCAGTTTTTTTGTTTTTTGTTTTTTTGGTATTTTTTCAATTTTCCCAGCCCATGAGTGAATATTTTGTTGTAATTGAAAAAAAGGAGTAAATATTTTGTTATAGATTGTGGGTTTATGATGACTGGCATATGGAAGTTACCTGTCTGATTTATTCCACTTCCTTTAGAGGACCAAATCCACTTCGGGCATGAACTTGTTTGACATTTGTCAAGACTTTAATCCATTTTGGATATTGGATATGATGTCCTAAGGTTTTATATTCACTCATATATTAACCCCCTACATGATGTTTGATTATTTGTCCTTGAACATTTTTTTTTTGTGCTGTAAATCTCACAGCCTTCTTCTGGGGATGCTAAATGCTCTTCACTGCTATCTGAACTACACATGTAGAGCTCTAGTACAAAAAATAATGGTAGACAAGTTGCCGCTTGGGGTCATCCAAAAATGCTCATGCTTTGAAATTTTACCTATTGTCGGCTAACTTTCTCCCGGCAAGCTTTTCATAATTATAATCTACTGTTTGGTTTCTGCTTGGACATGTGGTCATTTTCTTACCGGTTATTAACATGTGAATTTGATTTATTTGAAATTGCTTTTCAGGTCGAGCAGCTGCATAAGATATTCAAGTTATGTGGTTCCCCATCAGAGGAATATTGGAAGAAGTCAAAACTGCCTCATGCAACTATATTTAAGCCACAACAGCCGTATAAGCGGTGCATAGCTGAAACATTTAAAGATTTTCCACCATCATCACTGCCCCTGATTGAAACACTTCTTGCCATTGATCCAGCTGATCGTGGTACTGCCTCTGCTGCACTGAGAAGTGAAGTGAGTGCTGCATTTTGACCTTCACTTCATCTACCGTTCATTGAAAAGCAGTGGAATCATGATTGAATATCTGAATCTTTCAATAACATTTGAATTGTTTAGGTCTTATTTGCAAACTGAAATATCTAAGGGCTTGTTTTACTCATGATGCATTTCTATACTTTTCAGTTCTTCACAACAGAACCTTATGCTTGCGAGCCTTCAAGTTTACCGCAGTATCCTCCAAGCAAGGAAATGGATGCAAAATTGAGGGACGAAGCAAGGAGGTGATGCACACATCTACTTCAGTTTGAGAGCTCTTTACGTGAACTTTTTAATATTCTTATATTTTGACTTTTTGTTGAAACATTTCAAAGTTGCAAATAGCCTGTTCAGTGAAAATAATGAAATTACTACCATCTTTCAGTCCCTAACCCTAGGACCCATGCTGTCAGTATGAACTAAAACACTGGTGACATGCCTTAGTAGCTGTACCTTCATTTGTTTGTTGATCTTGATTACTCATAAAATGATGCCTACGTTGCTACTACTGAAATTTCATGCTATTGGATGAGGTGTGATCCTGAAACTAAATATATTTATGTATATGGTCCTACCGTGCAAGATATTCTGGAATATTCGCTGCTATTGAATTAAGTTTTCTCCCTCAATATCTGAAACTATATTCTTTATTTTTGAGCCAGCATAATCTTCTGGAAGATTAACTTTTATTTGGCTGAGTTCTTCTATCTTATAAAATTAAAAATATTGTAACTTATAAAAAAAAAGAAAAGAAGGAAACTTAGTTTGCCCTTTTCTGTTGATCACATTGATTCTTACTCACTCTTTCTTGCTTTTGTTTGTCTGATGATTAATTTCGTTCAGGTTTTTTTTTTGGGCAATTATTATTATTATTTTGAATTTCATCAGGTACTTCATTAATAACTTAGAAAATGTTCAGATTCTATATCACTAAAAGAAACTAATTTAAAGTATTTTGTGTGAGTATACAGGTTGAGAGCTGCTGGGGTTAAAGCTAATGGCGGTGATGCTGTGAAGAAGACTCGTACCGGTGATCGACCAGTTAGGGCCATGCCAGCTCCTGAAGCCAATGCCGAGCTTCAATCTAACCTTGATGTATGTCAGATGATTCCCTCTCTCTCTCTCTTTCTCTCTCTCTCTCTCACGCGCACGCACACACGAGGGGAGGCCAAGGTCATGAAAGATTGGAAAGTTGCTTACATATAGGATGATGCTTCATGTGCCATTTATATTTTTGGTTCTTTCCACCACCTTTAAGATAGTTGATCTCATGCTCCTAGCCTTCTTTTTAATTTCTCGCTACCTAAATTTCGAGCTCTTTTTTTTCACTATCTAGAATTCTACTCCATTTTGACTTCCAGTTTGACAGACTCTTCCTCCCCTCACTCTTATGATCTTAATCTCCGATTTACGTTTTGATCATTTCCATGCTTGTTATCTTATTTGCTATGTAGATTCCAAGTATTACTCGTACTAATCTGATTTGATTCTCTCTCTTGATTATTTTGATTTCCTTTACCTTACATTTTTACATTCCCATCATTGTAATCCCTGTTGTCTTTTCTGTTGCAGCGGCGGCGCCTGATTACTCATGCAAATGCAAAGAGCAAGAGTGAAAAGTTCCCACCCCCTCATCAAGATGGGGCTCTTGGGTACCCCTTGGGTTCTTCTCACTATGGAGAACCTGCCTTTGACGTTTCAGAAACTGCATTTTCCTCTGTGAACTTTGGTTATTCAAAGACCTCAGCGTCTACTTGGTCTGGTCCCTTGGTGAACCCAGCTCCTCCAAGGAAAAAGAAGTCAAATTCAAGTGCTCGGCCAAAAGAGAAGGAAAGCATACCCGAGAACTCGGCCTCAAATAAATGATTGCGCATTTTCCATTTGTTGCAAGCTGATCAGAATGGCAAATGTGGAATGGATACATGTGAGGTGAGGATATTATTTCTTTCCTTAAAATTTTTATTGTTTAGGCCCTTTATGGGTTCTATTTTTTTAGATGAGAGGCCTTATCATTGGCCTGGGAAATAGCTTGTCTCATAAAATTATATTTGTATTTGTTCGAACGGATTTCTCATTAGGTTGGATGCTCTGAAGCATTGTGATTTATTTGTAGAGGGATCTGGGAGTTGAAATATAAGCCTGTTTGTATTCTTTTGGAACTTCTTAAAAAAAATTTGGGCATTAAACTTTCTCCCATTAAGTGGATCTACACCTGTGCATGATAGTCCTGTGTTGATTTATAAGAAGTCTTCCCTTTCCCCTTGTCCTCCCCTACCTTTCTTCAAGGTTGTACATATCAAATCTACACCTGCCAAATAAATTGGATGGTGTAGATTATTGCAGTCTTACTTGTACAAGTAAGATTGACATATACTCCTTTTTTCGGCAAGAGATTTGTTTGAAACTTTCTTATACACTTTGGACACTAAATAAGTCTTTTAAGTTTTTGACTTCCCAAACACTTGGCACGATAATAGTCCATAAATTAGACCTTATGTAGAAAGGTGCGGTTTGTATAGGGTCGAGGCTCTAAACAATCAAAGTAGAGCGCACCTTCAAATAGTGTCCAGAAATGTAATTTCAATACTAGAAGTCTTTGTGATAGCCTTAAAATATATGTCCATGCATCTTGATGTTGAGATGATAAATTTGAAGATATTTGAGCATCAAAACAATCTCTTCTAGTGATGTATTTGAGTTACGCTCAAATTTGACTGTTAAATTAGAGCCTTGGCTCTATATAAACGAATTTGGGGTCTTTGAAGTACCATTAGCTTGTGTTTTGCTTGAGGGATCACGTGTAGCTTTCTATATAAACGAATTTGGGGTCTTTGAAGTACCATTAGCTTGTGTTTTGCTTGACGGATCATGTGCAGCTTTTACATACGACGATCTTTAGCAAGCCCGTAAGGTATACATTAGATTGGGAGAGTTTAGGTGCGGCCAAGGCCGTAAGGATTTAAAAATCTAGAGATCCATCTTTTGCACCCCCACAATCATGGAGTTTTTTAACTTAGTTTCTTTTAAAAAAGGATTTGGAGCCTAAAGTTGGTCGTAGTTTCTTTTGAAAAAGGATTCGGAGCCGAAAGTTGGTCCATCTTTCATAGTTATTTTCTTGACCATAACGATTGCCCATGCGTCCTTCCTCCAATAGTTCAAGTCCTATGTAAGGGGAAATAAGGGGTTTAGAAGGTACTACACCGAAGGAAAAAAATTATACAAGGTTAAAGCCCTAAACAATCAAACTGAGGCACCCCTAAAAAATTCATCAGAAGTTGTTAGAGGGAACTGTCCGGTCTAAAATTCATCTGCGATCTAGCCGAATGATTAGGCCATTAAATTTTTTTTCTTTTTAAAAAAAAAAAATAAAATAAAATAAAATTAACAAGCATGTTGGTTCTTAGAGGGAGCGGTCAAGTTGCAGATGTCTTGGCATAATTGGATCGGCCCCTCTAGTTCCTGATCTGGATCGCAGCTAGTTACAGTTCGGATTGCCATTTTTTCAAAACCCTGGTTTCTACAAAACGTTAGCAAACGGCAAACCGCTAATTACCATAGCATGTATTGCGCAATAACCTCTTCCAAATTTAGCCTAATATGTTCGGGATTGGGAGGACTTGTTGTTCATATACGGGGATGATTTTTTTTTTTGGGTAGATCAGTGAGAAATGGTCATCTATCCATAATAGGAATGGTAGTTAAGATATGACACTCATCACCCTCACCCCGATCATGTGGGATGGATTGTTAATTCGTTCAAAGCAATAAAAGCATACTCCTTTGATCGAATTTCAGCTATTTCTTCTTTTTTTTATCCGTAGAATTTTCAGTTACTTACACTGAAAATAATCCAATTGCCCTTTGAGAACTAGACGATGGGATGGCACTCAAGAAGGGGCTAATAGCAAACCCGTTAAGACCGGTTTACATTGACTTTTCTTGATTAGTTCGACTATAGAAATCCAAGTTGTGATGCAGCCGGCAGCTTAATCAATTGAGCCCAAATAATAAAGGGACAGTTTACATAGCGTCGAGGCTTTGTTCTTTTTTTTTTTTTTTTAATATATATATAGAAAATGCGACATTCATTAAGATAATGAAGAAGTACTACATAAAGGTCAAAAGAAAATAAAGGAAACAAGAAACCAAAATCAAACAGGAAGGGAAAGTTAGCACCAAGCGCTCAAAACAACATCTAAGACAAAATTAACCAGTAGTCAGTTTAGCCAACAAATCAGCATTAGAGTTGGCGCTTCTATAAACATGGACGAAGACGCATTCCTTGTCTTCAATCCTGAGAAGGATTTCTTCCATAATGACACTCAGTCTCCAAGGTACCCGGGAGGGCTGGGCGCACCATAAGACCGTATATGCTGAGTGACCTCCAATGATAATCTTCCTTTGGGACTGAGCATGACGTGAAACTCCCATTTTAGCTGCCCGAAACTCAGCTTCATTGATCTCACAGGTGTGAAGGGTACCTGAATAAGACCAAATGACGGAACCATTGTGGTCACGGAGAAAACCACCATAACCAGGCCTTACCCCCTTACACTACCATCAAAATTCAATTTCAGTCAGCCATCCGGTGGTTTAAACCACACACATCGAATGGACATTCGACGATGTTTAAGAAATATTTTTTTTGACAAATGTTTCGTAACTTTATTGATTAATTTCGGTTACAGTGCATTAGAAAAAACATCAGAAGTCAATAGATCCTGCATCAAACCTCCTCTCTTTGCCAAAGAATCAGCCACTTCATTGCCTTCTCTGTAAATATGTTGGAAATAAATTGTCATATCACGAATAAGGTCCATTATTTTCATCCATTCCGATCTCATCTTCCACGCAACAACCTTGTATTCCTTGATCCCCTGATAATTTTCAATCCTTGTATCACAGCAACCATCTCCGCCTCATTTGTTGTTTTAGAACCACAAGGCCCAGCAAAACAAAATATACGTTCACCGAGATGATTCCTCAATACTCCACCAACGTCTGCCGGCCCCGGATTCCCTAAGGAACTACCATCACAATTCAGCTTTAAACAACTCACTGAAGGAGCTACCCACCTCCCTTTATGTCTCACCTTCACCATCTTTTGCAACATTAAATTCCTAACATTCATTTCCATGTCCACTTTAGATATCCCAAATCCTTCACTTGTAATCAGAAACAAATTCCAAATTGTATGCTAGATTTCCTTTTTCACTAAATCCCCCTCCAAACTCAATCCCTCAAACACCCTTCTATTCCTTTCTAGCCATATCTCCCAAAGGTTGCAGCCCTTCATATCTAAAAGATCATGCTTCCTACCTTCTGCAGTCCATCAAATGACAAACTCCAAAATTTCAGTATGGCTCTTAGGAAGCATGCCACACAAACCTATTTTGCTAAGATACCAACCCCAAATATCATATGTAAAAAGGAAATGTAAAAACAAAGTGTGCAGTTGGCATATGGATGCATCCGTAGCTGTAGAGGTAAGGTGCACCTTCAAATTTTATTATGGTATATAATTTTGATGTAAAATGTTCTTAGGATTATCTCAAAATCTATTTTTATATCTAATTATAAAATTTTAAGTTTAAAAAATGGTTAAAATCAAGTAGATCTATAAACATGAAAATCTTGAAAATAGAAGGTGTAAATAATATGTTGTAAACTACACTATTTTTGGGACTTAAAATCTTTTTATTTTTCATGGTCATACATCTCGATGACGAGATGATCAATCGAATGGTTTTTCAATATTAAAACTACCTTTTCTGATGGATTTTTGAGGTGCATCCGTAGTTCTACATTATAAGGTTGCATCCTTATATAAACTTTTCCAAAAATAAATGGTCACCTTCATCACAATCCTTACACAATATACATATGTTCATGATTATCCTACCTCTTTTGATAAGATTGTCCACTGTCAAACATTTCCCTTGGAACAACACCCACAGGAAAACTTTCACCTTTTGTAGTATCCTCCAAGACCATAGCTTACGCATTGAGCCCCTATTCCATCTGATCCTATCATGACACAAAAGATTGTAAGTGGATCTAATAGAAAAAATATCACCACATTCAGAGTCCCACACCAATTCATCTTGGAAACCTTGGTATAAGAAATAAAATATCGTTAAAGGAAGAGAAAGAAGCAGATTAGGAACGACCATGAGGGGAAGAGAGGCATAAACCCACATGATGGTCAAGGCTGAATGTCGGAAATTAAGGATGAAGAGTCCCTGGAGAGACCCTCGAAAGTTCGCGAGTTTTCTACAAGGTCCACAAAGAGGCAGCAATAGTAATTCTCCAAAGTTGACGACCTAGAAGGTAAAGGGTGGGGTCCAAAGTTGTTGTAGAAATTTTTTGGCATCATGTGGCCAAGGTCCATGCCAGGCCGTCAGACTATCAACCCATTCTTAGATGGCAGCAGCATGCTTGCATCTCAGAAATAAATGGTCATGGTTTCCTCGTCCTCCTTGCACATCAGGCAAACATTGATAATAATCATACCTCTTTGGTGCAATTGATCGACAATGAGCAATCTCCTGTATGGAAAAAGGCACATGAAAGCTCTAACTCTGAGGGGTGCCTTGCACTTCCAAATTTTGGCAAGATACCTTTTATCCTCAAGGTACCTATCCTTCCAAATTTCTTTATAGAGAGATTTGATAGAGAAGTAACCCAAAGGCTCAAGGCTCCAAATGAACATGTCTCTCTTCCAAGGATTGAAACAAAATGAATACAAAGAATCCATGAGAGTCAGGAATTGGGCTTCAACTTGATGGTCTACTCTTCTAGTAGAAATGGTAACATTCCAAACCGGTTTTCCTTGAACAAGGGCAACCATGTCTGTAACCATAGTTCTTTTCTGGTTGAATTTGGTCTAGAGGGCAGGAAACACCATTTTAAGAGGATATTCCCTCAGCCACTTGGCATGCCAAAATCTAGTATTTCGACCATCTCCAACCAACCACCTAGAGTAGGGCCAAAAAGAGGATTGTAACGCCTTTAATACCTTTCCAAACCATGGAAATGTGACATGAGACCGATCTTCTTCTTGCATAGCGACCATCAGGTTCCAAACCATATTTGCCAAGGATAACCTTAGCCCAGAGTTGGTCTCCATGTATGGACAGCCTCCACCACCATTTGGCAAGCAATGAGTCATTGACTGCTCTTAAGTCTCTGTATACCCAAACCCCCCATCACTTTTGATTGGCATACCGACTCCCATCTGACTAGATGCAACTTTTCTTATTATGGGATCCGTTCCAAAGAAAATTGCATAATAAAGCTTCAATTTTAGCAATAACAGCCGCAAGCGCCTGAAAGAGAGAGACGTAATAAATAGAGGTGTTAGAAAGAGTAGCATTGATCAAAGTCATTCTGCCAGCAAAGGACATGTATCAGGCCTTCCAACCGTCCAATTTAGTCTATGCTCTATGAATGAGAGGATCCCAAAGGGATCTCGGAGCACTGCTATTAAGAAGGGGCACGCCCAGATATTTGGTAGGAAATTGCTCCACCCCACATTCGAGCCAAGAAACCCAGTTAGAGATAGAAGTGGTGGAACAATTAATACCCAATAGCGTGGACTTATCCATATTGATACAAGCCCCTGAAATTAATTCATAAAGCTTAAGAAAAAGTTCATAAAGCAAAAGCCAGATATTATGGACATTATCATCAGATCCCTCTAAAAGGATCAGAGTGTCATCTGCATATTATAGATGATTAATCAACTGCCATTGGGCCAAGGGGGCAAGCCCTTAATGAATTAGACTCCACCAAACCCTGTTGCATTTTACTGAAAGCTTCAGCCACAAGGGTAAAGAAGAAGGGAGAGAGAGGATCCCCCTGTCTGAGGCCCCTAGTGGCACAGAAGTAGCCATTAGCCTTACCATTAATCAAGACAGAGAAGTGAGCAGACGAAAGACAACCCCTAATCCGTAATCTCCATTTCAAGCCAAAGCCCATGAGAGCCATAATATTATCAAGGTAGTCCCATTCCACCCGCTCGTATGCCTTTTTGAAATCAATCTTCAGTAACAAACTACTAAGACCCAAGGATTCAGCCGTATGGATAGTCTCTTGAGCAAACAAGATACCGTCCATAATGTAACAAACTTTAATGAAAGCAGTTTGAGGTCCCTCGACGACCTCATTGATCACCAGGCGAAGACAGTTAGCCAGGACCTTAGCTAAAATCTTATACATGCTAGAGAGAAGGTTGATCAGTTGAATATCAAAAAGGGAAGCTATATGAATTTTTTTTAGGGATAAGAGAGATAAAAGTAGAATTAATAGCATTGGTCACAATCCCATCATTATAAACACAAGTTGAACTAGCAAACAATGTCATACTGAAGGACCTCCCAGAACTCTTAGAAAAAAGCCAAGGGGAAGCCATATGGGCCAGGGGCCTTATCTCTAGGCAGATAAAAAACAACCTTTCTAATTTCATTAATAGTAAACTGACATTCTAAAGTCACCAAAGGGAAGCCGTATAGGCCAGGGGCCTTATCTCTAGGCAGATAAAAAACAACCTTTCTAATTTTGTCAATAATAAACTGACATTGTAAGGTTGATCAGTCGAATATCATAAAGGGAAGGTATATGCCTTTTTTTAGGGATAAGAGAGATAAAAGTAGAATTAATAGCATTGGTCACAATCCCATCATTATAAAACACAAGTTGAACTAGCCAACAATGTCATACTGAAGGACCTCCCAGAATCTTAGAAAAAAGCCAAGGGGAAGCCGTATGGGCCAGGGGCCTTATCTCTAGGCAGATAAAAAACAACCTCTCTAATTTTGTCAATAGTAAACTGACATTCTAAGGTCACCGCAGAAGCCTTGAAAAGAGCCTTAAAAGGTGCATCCCCGAAGTCGAAAGGGTAGCCTAGTCTCTAACGAAAAGGCATGGTTAAAATGATTGATAATAGCATTACTAACAGCTAACAGATTATCCATATCAACACCCTGAATAGATAAACCAAAAAGACAGTTGGATTTATTCCTCAAATTAGCAATAATATGAAAATATTTGGTATTATTATCTCCCTCATTAACCCACTTGGATCTAAATCTTTGGTACCAAAAAAAATTGAAGTCTAAGAAGGTACTCAAGGTCATGTTTTTTAGAATTTCTAACATCCACCTAATCCTGAGAAAGACCCTAATTAAGTTGGTCCAAGGAGTTAAGGGTGGAGATATCACGTTCAAGCATGTCAATATTATCAGCAATACAACCAAATTTGGTTCTACCCAAGGCTTAAGGTTATTCTTCAATAACTTAAGCTTGCTGGACAAAATGAAACCTAGCTAGTAATGAGGCATAACAGTAGCCCAAGAACGATGGACAACATCAGCCATAGATTTATCTTCCAACCACATCAGTTTAAAGTGGAAAGGGGGGGGGGGGGGGGTTTCAGCGATAACCCCATTAGTATCCAAAGCAATCAAAACATGGTCAGAGGCATACTGAGGCAAGCCTTTTAACCAAGGTCTTGGGAAAAATCTCATCCCAAACACTAGAAATGAGAAAAACGACTAACTTGGACATTTTCATGGCAGAAGCTGAATTATTGGACTAAGTGAATCTGGTACCCACAATCTCAATATCCAGCAAACCATGATTAGAAATAAAGTTGTCACAGGGCCATAGTCGGAGAGATCACAGAAGGAGTAGGCACTTCATGTGTTCATCATACCATATTGAAGCCCCTAGCCCCACATCAGGGGACCCCAACCCTAGAAATAGTGCTAGAAAGAGAGTTCAGGAACCCCTCTTTCTCACCGGGCACATTGAGCCAATAAACAATGGATAAGCACCAAAACAAATTAGCAAGACCCGAAAATATAACAGATATACATCGAAAGTTCAAATCCAAAATATGCCCAGAAAAGACAGAGGGGTCCCAAAGACTTAAGAGTCCTCCAAATAAACCAGATGAAGGATGAAAGCAAAGTCTAAAGGGCCACTGCCCTAGAAAGTACACAAAAAAGAAACATCAATAGAAGAGAGCTTCGTCTCCTGCAAATCAAGCATGTTAGGTTTGCAATGGAGGATCAACCGTCTTAGTGTCATTCTACGTCACATTCCTCCCAACCCATGTGCGTTCCAAGAGATTACTAACATTGCAACCGGAAGCCCCTACCCCTTCTAGTGGTGTCGATAACACCAATAGCAAGCGGGTTGAAAGACAGTCCAGTAGCATGCTCCTATGCTTTCTTCTGCAATCTCGAGCGCTTCCTTCTTGGCCTCGAGTTTGATGGGCAGGTACAACATTAGGGAAAACCCCTTCTTCTACTAGTCGAATCTCACGCTTGAATTTGACCTTCATGTCCCTCAGCAAACCAGCCACCCGTTCTCGAATAAGACCTTTCTAATGGGCCTTGATAGACCAGTTGGCAGCATCCAGGGGAAGGTCCTTGTCCCATGAGTCTGAAGACTCAGTAACCAGAACAGGAGGGGCATGAGGGATGTCTGGGATGGTGGCAACCATGAGGCCTTTCAAACATTGCTATTGAGAAGCAATCATTGATGAGATACAAAAGGTGAAGGTGTCCCCAAGTTTTGCAAAACTCCCACTAAGAGAGAGTCATCGCCACGGCATCTTCATAAACGTTAACAGGTTCAATGAAGAAGACATCTCTTTTTCCTCAATGATATTCATAATGGTGACCAGGGACGCCATTGAAAAGCTTTGAAGAGAACTCACAATTCTGAGCAAAAAAAAGATGAAGAGGATAACAAGACAAAAGGCCCCATAAGAGAAGGATAGGGCCAAGATCAAGGATAAAAGGAGAAGATAAATGAAATTGGTAAGGTACCAATTGAGATTGAACTGTCGTCGTTGAAATGACAGGAAAATCTCGCTCCTTTTCAACGAAATCTTTGTCACCATTTAATAAAAGGTAAGCCAGCGGATCTAATCTAGGAGTAGGAGAGAGACCATCATTTGACTGTTCACCAGGGTCCAACTTAATCCTCTAGCAACAGTCGAGACTTCACCACCTGCCGCCTCAATATTAGAAGCAACCATGCTGTCAACCCCTTCGAAGTCATCCACCCGTTGGGTAGATAGACCGTCCCTAGGTGTAGCAATTACCTTACAATCAAGAGGAAACATTGTACGATCAGGAGGATGAGGGGTAGAAGCTTTAGGTAAAAGCAGCGGCTTCACAAAAAGGTTCCTCGAAGGACACGACAGTCCTAACACAATCGATTCGCCAGAGAAGAAGGGCCTTTTCGATGCATGGGTATGATACCTTTTCGAAGGTTCACCCTTCGAGAAAGTGGAATGCATAAAAACAACTGGGTCTTGAGGGGGACCTAAAGGCCCACCAAGCTTAGGCAAGTGGCAAGTTGAATTCGAATTCGACTCAAGCATTAAACGGTCAGCCTGGTTCCTGTCAGCCATGGCAAAGGCATGGCCAAAATTCTTCTTCCGCCATTCCTGCCTAGAAAATGCCTATGCGGCGAAGCCTGCTTCCGGGAATGAGCCTTCCTATTCCTGGAAACCACCTTCCATTGACTACCTGGTTTTCCATCAGACAAAAAAAGGCCAGAATTGATCGAGGATTCAAATGAATTCGAAATAACGTGAGATTTACAAGGAACAAGAGGATTGAGGGATTCCACCGAAATGGACAGATCAAAAAAATCATCAGCAATCTTGAGTAGGAGTTCAGATAGCAAAGGAAGACCCAGCATCGGTTGAATTTTCATTCTCAAGGTGCCCAAGGCAAGGCCAGCGGTAGCGAGCCAATCGATGTCAAGAAGTTTATAGCATCTACCTGCAACCAGGTTGAAAACATCACTGGTCCAAGTCTGGATAGGAATACGCACCACCCTCACCCAATCCACAGGCAAGCGAATCAGGGAGAAATTGGCTTCATTTTGTCCAATGCTCCACAGTCATCAGCACTGCCTTAAATCTTCATAAATGTTATTTCAGAACTTTAGCAGCCACCTCCGGCCTGTCGAAAATGACCAAAGCACGATGGTTGGGAATGGAACGACAAGTAAGAGGGCCAGCCCAGACCCTAATAGCCCAGTCTTGCAGCATGCTAAGGTCATCAACAAGGGGGAAAAGGAGCACACAAGGGCCTTTTGCAATTGGCTGGCCCAACTCTCAATGGCCTTGGAAGGTGCTACAAGCGCTGGAATGTCAATAGAACAACAGGAGTTCCACAAGGTAGGGGCAGCTTGGAGGGGGGGAAATCTTCAGGACCAAAACAAACTTCCCTCCAGTTGCCACACGAGTTACCTCTGTTGGAATTGTCACCCGAAGTCTTCTTCTTGTCTTTAGCCTCGGAAAGGCATCTAAATGCATGGGAATAATTCCGATCCATTAAGGTCACTAACCATCTGGTGTGAGTCACCACAAGCTCCACAAGAATCCCAAAAAGAGTTAGGATTCAGTCCAAACTTGCCCATACGAACAGAGAAAGCACGAGAGGGTTAGGGCAGCAAGGAGGAAGTAAGGAAGGAGTCAAGCAAGGGAGAGAAAAGAGATGAAGGAAGGGAAGGATAGAAAGCGATAGCCAGATCCAGAGCCATCAAACAATCAAATTAGAGCCTACATCAAAAATTTCACTAGAAGAGGTTATTTTGATACCCAAATATCCTCAAATTGATCATCTTGACATCAACATATATGGACATCAGAAAAAAATGGATTTCAAATTTTAGAAGTAGTGTATTTTGTAATGCATTTTTGGATCGTCAATTGTCAAGATTTTCAAGTTTTCATAGATCTGTCGATCTACACTATTTTTGAAGGGTTAAACTTTATAAATAAAGATGAAAAAATATTTTAAGGCTTTCACAAATATTTCCAATATTGAAACCACATTTATCGATACTATTTGAAGGTAGGCTCTAATTTGATTGTTTAGACCCTAGGCTCCATACAAACCGCACCCAATAATAAATGGATTGTATACTATGAGTATAGGGCCTTTTTTTTTTACGGTCACTCATGACCATTTGAATGTAAAATTCAAAGGGTTAAAGTATAGGGATTGTATACAATGAGACCATTTATCTTTGGTATTCGAGAAATTTTATTTTAGACTCTGTATCTAGTTAATGACGAATTCCCAACAACTCAATTTCACGTCTAATTGTCAAAATAATTACGACCACCTATGCCAAAAGCAAACAGTTTTATTAGACATTTTTTATTTAAGAAAAAGTAGAGCCTTCCCCTACGTAGGAAATTGGCAAAAGTTATTATGCACTCATAAGGGTAGAAAGTTTATTTACTCTCTCGGGTAAAACTTTACGTAGAATTAATATTAGGACCCCAAATTTCAAAGATGTAACATTTTCAACTCATATACTTACTGCAATATAAACAAATCTAATTGTATTATGTATTTGAAAGAAATAATGTCTTGAGATTTATAGAGGTCATCCAATTTTTAGATGGTGAGATCTATGGGTTAGAAAATTCAAAAAATTTATGTTTTTAAGAATAATGGTTTAGTAATTATTAAGTGGTTCCTAAAATTTCATATCCAAAAAATCCTCCCAAGAAAGTCTTCCGACCAAAGGAATAGAAATAAACTATACCCCCGAGGGAGCATGAAATGTGTGCCGTAGAAAATATAATTCCGCTGTAGGACAAGACTCAAATTAGCCATCTCACGTAACAAAGCAATGATTTATTTTGACTGGTAAGTAAAAATATGGATTACGCATATGATTTCAACTCCCGCGGGATCTCACACCGTTCGCTCAATTTTTCCCTCTTAAATCCCTTCAAGGTTGGGTATTTTAGTCATTTTTCATAAAATCGTACTTTACTCCTTCAGTAAAACTCTCCAAAATACCCTCCCATGAATAACCGAATTACAAATTTAGGACTCAAGACTCCGACCGTGCAGAACCCTACATTTGGGTTTTTTAAACCCATGGCTCCAGTTCCTCTCAGCTTGAATTGAGCCAATTTCCATGATTTTAAGGTTCGTTTCTTTTCCTACAAAGGATCTCGAAGTCAAGAATTAGGGTCTCTGAACTCAGGTACTCTGAGTTGTGACCGATTTGTATAGCTCCAGAACAATTTGCAACAGTTGTGGAATTAGGGTATTAAAGCTGAGAACGCCGACTCAGGATTTCCTAGGGTTTTTTAGTTTGATTTTTGCGACACCAGAATTGGGGTTTCTGGAAACAAGAAAACCCGTTACTTTGACTTGGGTTTTTCTTAAGCTAATTTGCACAGCTCTAAATTAGGGTTTTTGTTGATAACATCGAGCTACTATTATTTGGGGCTCTGTTAGGCAGAACTTCATTGCTATAAGTGCATATTCAATCATCGTTCATTTCTGGAGTCGGGTTTGTTTTGCAATGGAACCTTCTTCATCAAAAAGCAATTTTAGATGGCTTCCTTCTCTCAAAGTTTGGGCATATTCACCGGAGCAGTCTTCCTCGTCCTCCTCTTCTTCATCATTATCTTCATCATCAGTTAGGGTTTCCAACTCAAGAAAGCTTAGAATGAACAATTGGATCCGTATTTCGAAGGCCCTTCAGCAAAAAACCTGCCCCATTTGCCTTGGATGCACAGAAGAATCAGAGGCCGCTGTTCTTCAATCGTGTATGCATGTTTATTGCATAGGATGCATTAGGAAATGGAGTGAAATGAGGAGGAATTGCCCATTGTGCAAAAGTGAATTCAAAGGATGGTTTTGCAATATTAGGACATCTAGAGTGGGGGATTACAGGGAAGAATTTCTTTTGCCGCTAAAAGGGGCAAAAGAGCACGACCATGGTCATCACCAGTGGGTCACAATGGTAAGGTTGGTATGGTTTCGAGGGTTCAATTGTTGTGGTTTGGTGAATTCACTTGTTGGTGTTGGGTTTTATGGCATGCCATGAACTATAATTGTTATTCTGGTTACTGAGTTTGGATTCAATATTGTACATATTTGTATTGCAAATGAACGAACTACTTAAAAGGGTAACTTGTATGCACTATAGGTGAATTCACTTGAAAGATGTAAGAACTTGTCCTAGTCTTTCTCGACTATTAATATTTTGTCTTTTGAGGGTAACTTGTTATTATTATTAGCCAAAGAAATTGATTTGCGCAAAAATTCATTCAATGGCAGCTAGGTAACAACAAAAAAATACGTGAAAGTAAAATGTGTTTTTTCTGCTTTGGTTTTGGCCCCTATGAAATGAACAGTCTACAACCCTCAACATTGGGGTTGACCATGAATATACTCATATTTCCCCTAAATTTTGGCCGAGAGAGAGAGAGTATATTCATGGTCAAGCCCAATGGTCAGGGTTGCAGACTGTTCATTTCATTCTCTTAATTGGATAGCATGACAATATTCTCAATATGTAAGAAACAATATTATTCACGATACCATCTCTATATTCTAGGACTTGATGCGCCGATTATGGTCCCATAACCCATTATGGTCCCATAACCCATTATGGCCACACGTTCCTTCATGGAGGAACTCAGGTGATGAAGATCAAATAAAAACCATGATGGCATGGTAATATGCACCTATAGGTATCTAATATATACAATTCGTTTCTAATTTCTGTGTAATTTTTATTTTATGGATTCTAACGGCCTCACCTTTCTTGTCCAAGGCCGGCCCTCCTGTCTTTATGGTTTCTCAAACACTGTAAGAGTTCTATAGAGCACCCAACCGGTGTGCCGCTCCATCCCACTTCTCATGGGATCTTTCTGTAAACATATTATACATTGATATATTGTCATCAGTTTCAAAAGAATTTTATTTTATGGGTTCTTATTATAAGCTGTCATGGTACCAATCTCTTATTCCCTTCTTGATTTGTGTTCTGATAGGATGGTACCGATGTTATTTATATATCAACATATTGAATTTGTGCAAGTCTCATGCATTGTGCTAATGGGTTGCTAAATTAATCTAGGGCTCAGCCAGCTTTCAATCAACGGCATTCCAGACCTTTACCATGGCGTCGTTCGTTTGGGCGATCTAGATTTGTGCCCCCTATCGAAAGGCAGAGACGTGAAGCTGAGGTTATTGCTGAAAGAGTTCTTCGATGGCGTGCTAGGTATCTTTGATTGATGATTCTACGACTCCTAAGATGCATGCGATCAATTTACCTTGCATGATAGATGAATTATTGATATCTCAATGTTTCTTTCTCTTTTCTTTTTTTTTTAACTTGCAGCATATATGAGAGAGGCTTACGAGCAGTACCCCTTTGTTTTCCATCCAAGCCTTCTTTACAGCAGGTTTGAGGGCTTTCTTTAAATAAAATCTCTGGGTTTATCATGAGAAACATGTTTTTTTTATGTTGATAAATCCTCACCATTAAGTGCTGTTGGGCTGCCTTGTACACTCTTGAAGTAGCTGCTAGTATTAGGCAGCCTATCACAAGAAATTAAATGGTTCCTGCTTTATAAAAGATGTAAAAACTCAAAACAGGTGCCTGCTCCATAAAAGATGTAAAAGCACAAAATGAAGTCAATTCTCTTTTTTTTTTTGATAAAGAAAAATGAAGTCAATTCTCATAATGCCAAATGATTAACTTTGACAAATGTGCATCTTTTCTTCCTTAGTTTGTTTCATTGCTTGGTTCATCATCTTTTTTGTCCTATTCTAATTGTGATGATATGTCCATGTTACATTCTATTTCTCCTTAACTGTATCATGATGACTATGGTGCTTCATGACTCCATAAAACATCAAAGGTATTCTGGCCAAGGTTCAAACATCAGTAATCAAATGGGACAAGTTGTCTTGTGTATCAGCTCTAGATCTTACCCATGAAACAATATGGTGAAGGTTATGAGAACTAGTCAATATCAGGAAGGAAACGGGCTTGGGTCAAGATGGTAAAGGCTAGGTTTTTATAGCCCAACGTCTCAAGTTCTATTCCTATGTAACCTTGTCAAAAATAAAATAAAATAGTCAATATCAGGAGATATGGTCAAATAATGCTAGTTTTTTCAAGTATATCTACTGATCTATATCAGTGCAAAGGCGGATATATCAGGTTTCATATTTTAAAAAGAAAACTGTGTTATATCCAAATGATCCCATTGTACTTATTATATTTGTAAAGTATATCTCATGATATTCATTTATAAATACGCTCATTTTCTTTGACAATAAGGTGAATAATAATGCAAAATAGAACACCTTTGATATCTATTTTAAACTCCCTTATATTTGATATTTTTCATATATCAGCTGTTGTGCTGTTTTTTTTTTTAAAAGAAAAAATTCACTTTCTGATTCCATATCTTATATATCAGCTCATTCCGATATAATTCACTTTCTGATTTCATATCTGATTTATCAGCTCATACCGATATAATTCACTTTCTGATTTCATATCTTATATATCAGCTCATACCGATGTAATTCATTTCTGATTTCATATCTTATATATCAGCTCATACTGATATATATCGGTTTCCTGCCCCACCCAAAAACGGGTATTTATGACCTTTTTTTAACCTTGATTGTGGCATTGTTTTGTAATTAATTATTTGCAGAAACTGCTTGAAAATAATGGCCAAAAAGAACGAATTCAACGGCGCGTAGAACCTTGGATACGGAGGGAATTGGAGGCCATTCTTGGTGATTCAGATCCATCAGTTCTTGTTCATCTAGTCTCTTCCCTCTGGATGTCAAGTCTTGAAGAAGAACTCAAGGCCACAAAAGATAGCACTGTCGTGAAAAGTAAATTTGTTCAGCAGTTGAGACCCTTCCTGCATGAGAGGGCAGATATGTTCTGGCATGAGCTGAGGTATCCCATTCTATATGAATAGAGTAGACCTTTAACTATGAAAGCTTTCCTACTTAGTTATTGTTGTTTTGTCTCTGAATGCTTCCTTTACCAAACATGAGCTTCTTAGTTGTGCTTTGAAGATATCTATTGATCTGGTTTCCTTTAGAATAGTGGCTTTAGTTGTGTAAAAGAAACAATGTGATCAAATTCCATTTGTGCACATCAGTTCATGTGATTAAGGATGAATCCCTCTTTCCCATTTTTTTTTCAGATTAAACTCCAGACTTGGTTCTGCTTCTTTGTTGTCAAAGCCTGAAAACACATAGTGGGTAGGTATATACCAGTATCATGGGTCAAAAAAGCTGATGATGGTTAAATATTGTTTTTAAATGGAGCATTAAAGACTGTTATACATGTAACAAATGGCATTGCTATTGGACATGCACTTATCTACTAAGCTACATGTATGTTATTGGAGCTGTTGAGGAAGTTCCCTTGCAAGAAGCAAGTGGTAATATGGATGTGCTGGAAGAATAGATGATGTTGAGGTTTGAAAGATGACATTTGTCTAGTCTCTATAATTCGTCAGTTCTAGTTTATTGCTTGATGTACTCTTAGATATTTTTTGATGCCTTTGAAAACAGTTGTTTTCTCTTAGAAAACTAGTTTTTTCCAGACCCTATTCTTCCCAAAATAAGGGTATCTTTAGTTAAATCTGTTAGGTTGTGGGTATTTCACTCGAGAGCCTAAATTTAAGACATGAAGCCAGAGATTTTCAGAAATCTACTTGTGGATCAATAATTATTTCTAAAATATATTTTCTTTTAGAAATAGAACATGTATGAAGTTCTTAATCTCAACACAGGAATACGGTATGAAATAACCATCATAGACTTCTTTGGAATGGACCATGCGTGCAAGAGTATTAAGTTGGGATGAGCTATCCAATGGAGTGTTTAGTACTGTTGTGACCAAAATTGCTGATTCCATTTTGGGGTAACCAAAGGATGCACTATTCCTAATTTATTTCTCAAAGAGGGATGGGTCTAGCTTGGGATATCGTGAAATTACAGTGCAGGTTTTAATGTTTAAACCAAACTTCTAATTTATCAGTCATCCTATGGGAAAACTTTTAGTGAATCATCCATTCCAGGCTTAGTTAAACCCTTATTTTCTGTTGGTGATGGCCAGGTGTCCTCTGTGTGGCAAATCTCAAATCTCCCACTGAGGAAGCAACTTGATAGAAGTATCAACCAAGCTTGGGCATGTTCAAGCTTGGCTTGCATGGACAGGGACCATCTTGAGCATGACTAAAGCTTGAACCACCCAGCATGAACTTGGCTTGATTAAATGGGAGGTAAGCTCGAGTTTGGTGTGGAACTTGACTTGCTTACTTAAATAAGTCCATAGCTGAGGAGACTCAGGCCATAAACAAGCCAAGAATAAGGTAATATACAAAAAAGCATCTATACCGTATAAAATATAACATCTTAAAGTGGAGTCTTGAATTTAAGGTCAATATAATATGACATTAATTGTACATTCTTTTACATATTGTATTATATTTTATACATAATATGTTAAAGAAGCTTGAGCCTAGCGTGATTAAGCTTGAGCTTCGCTTGTCAAGCTGAAAAATATTGCTACAGTTTAGCTTCAGACGAACGTAAGCCCTCCAGTGGACGTGAAATTGTTTATATCCAAATTTGGGACATCAAAATTGCAATATGTAAATTGTGAATCATATTAGACAATAGCTGGGTAACAATGTATGTTTACAAGTACAAATTTTGGCATATCTCTAAAGGTTTAGAATTTTATGATTACACACTATGGACTTTAAGATGTGTTGTGGATTACAATCTAAATTTATAAATATGGATTATAAGGTTTTCAATTTACCTTCTTCCGAAATAATTTGAGCTGGGGTCAAATTTTTTGGGATGAAAAATCAGTAGAACTTCAAAGTGGGCCTTCCCACCCCCTACTTCCTAAACTCTTGCAGAATGATTTTCATAAACAAATGAGTTGTGATGACCTTTCTCATCCTCCATCAGTCTTATCTGATTTCAAAGAGATGCTTGAGGAGGAAATACATTAGAATAAACCTCATCATCATCATCAAAGCTTTTTCCCAACTAATTGGGTTGGCTAAATGAATGTTGGTCTACCATTATGCTCTATCAAGGGCCAAGAAGAAGGGTGAGGACCTTAATCCGTTTCAAGCCCAGGTAAAAGAGGTGGATTGTGTTAGGTGGCAGCCAACGTAAAAATTTGTTGTAACTATCCATGAATCCTGAATCGACACCTGAGTAAACCTATCTTTCAAAAGCTATCCATTACCTTGATTCCTAAAGCAACATTAGGAGTAGGGGCATGTAGGTATTTGGTCATCCAAATTTTCTACTCCATTTCATTTGAATCCATTCCGTCTCCAAATTCAATTTCGTTTTCAATTATAAACCTTTAAGTCGATGGCAGAACACAAACCTAAAGCATGGATTGAGTTATGACACCCAATGTGTGTAAGCACAGTCCAAGTGTACCCTGGGCAAAAATAGGATTGCGCCTTATGTCCCAGGTGTCCTAAAAATATGGCAGTGTACTTTGACCATCCGATAGTGGGAATTCAAATTATTTCCTCAGTTTATATTTCATTCTGTTACCTGCCTGCAGATATCTACTTCCTTGACTCTTAACATGCCTTGATGTACAACATGAGCACCAAAGAGGGACAACTGTAGACAACTTCATTTTGGTTGATTGGAGAAATCCCCCAACTGTAAACCTAAAGCCCTGAACCTTGGAAACATCCTTCCTTAAACTCAGTGTCCCAGGAACCTGACAACAACCCTGAAATACGCCTTTTGTTTCTAGACCTTGGGAAAATTTACCAAAAGTACGTATCTTAGACCACAATATACCAATGGTCCAAAGACCATACTGTTCTAACCCTCTTTGCTCTGCCTCCGCATGGTGGAAGCCATGGGACATATCGACATGGCAACCTGGAAGCTCTTAGGTCCCATGGTTCTCTAGAGTCTTCTAGACTCATGTTCCCACACTTTTGATTCCAAAAATTCATTCTAAAATGTAAAAATCTGTAACTGTTTTATTTTGGGCATAATCAAATATGTGAGGTAATTTTCACCTGAATTTCAATTCAAACCATTAAGCTGCCTTTCTTAAAAATTTGAAGTGAGTAAAATAAAATATTTGGATTGAAGTCATAATCGCAGTTTTGGAAGGTTCTATGTAATTTCGCAAAAGTTCTTTTGTGTACTCTTCAATCAGGCTGTAATTGTCTTCAATATTCAAAATATTTCCTAGTTATGAGATTTCAAGTAATCATATGACCAGGATTCCACGGTGCGACACTAAGAGGCATTAACTCTACATGTCATGGCGTGGATACCACATTCAGCATGGTTAGATCAACGCCATGAGTTCCCCAAATGTTTCTGGTGGAACAATTAGGGATTTTTCAAAGCATTTGTGCCGATAAAAACCCATTTTGAAACCTGTTTTTGGGCTTTCGGACCCTTGGGCACTTTCTTACCCATTTCTACATTCAAGCCCTTAGGGACTAAAAGCCCTAACTTAGGAAGACCCAACCCTTATCCTGAAACCACTAGCATGACCCGGATTTTTTAAAACCGTAAACTAAGACCTTCAGAACCCTAGCCAAGTAAAAACCCTTGAAAGGCCCTAATCCAAGGTGAACCCTTCATGAAAACCGTAAGATCTAAGCCTCATCCCATTCAATCTTTAAAGAGAAGTCTTGCAAGCCTTTCAGTCCACCATTGAATTTAATTTCGAAATTCAAACAAATTCTTTTTAAATTGGAAAACGGTCTAATTTAGCCCCTAGCTCCTGATACCAGGCCTATGGACCTGGCTTGGTAAGTCTTTCTTTATTTTCCTCGATTTCTAGAATTTTCTCTTCATTTCCCATAATTTTCTATTGTTATTTTCAGAGTTGTTTCCTTTTGTAATTTTTTTTGCATTCCCTACGGTTTTAAACGAGATCTAGCTAGCGATCCACAGAATGAGGCTGTAGAGTAGACTTTCATTGGACCGCTATTTGGTGATCCCTGTATTTTTATTTTTATTTTCTGTTTAGATCCAAATCAGAGAGGAGGGATCTTGGATTCATCATCCCAACTTGGCTTCTTGCAAGCTGAGCCGTGCTGGCTTGGCTTCTTGACACTCCTATGGGATGGCTTGAATGCTTGTTGAATGCTCTCTTCTTTTGAATGGTCCAATTTGTACGATATATAGTAGAATTTACAAAATATAAACTAGAAAAAGAGAAAGAACAAAGAAGAAAAAGCACAATTCAAATAGAGGTTCTCTTCTATTTTGACAATTATACGTCATACTTTTAAAATGGCAATCATATCAGTTGATTGTAGGGTTGTGTTGCTTTGATGTTACTGGTATGACGGACAAATATTAAGTCTGATAGTAAATAACATCAAAAAGCATTACCTAATATAACATATTTACCAGAATGCATATGCTTCCCTTGGCCATGCTCTTTTCTCTTGATTCAATAAAGAACAAGTGCACAAATGGATGTCTGGTTCTCAAAGCAAGTACTCTCAATTGAGTTGTGTTAAGAGTAAACTCAGGGTCTTGAAGTCAACTGCGGATAAAATCTCCAAGGATCTAGGTGTACCCACTCCCTTTTGGCATGTTCCTCACCAGAGTTCCTAGTGATGAAAACCTTCAAAGAATGATGGGCAAAGAGTACTTGTCGTTATGAGGTTAGTGGTGACTGTTCCAAGATATGGGCCTTAGAAAAGTGGAAAGGATGCATGCAGGAGGGTCAGTCTACACACACTCCTAACTTCCACTCACAGCAGTTTTCATCTTTTTAAGCTTCTGTTATCGGAGAGCTAATATAAGGACAAGATGATAAACTCATACTTAGTCTGTAGTCAATATTTCCAAAACAGGAAGATCTTGGCATTGAAAAGTTGATCTGCTATTTTGAACCCTTTTTTTTTTTTCTTTCTAGGTCATTAGGACAGCTTTAAGCCCCAACATGTCATTGTTGTAGGAGATTTGAAGCTCCCATTCTTGATTACAGATCCTTAAAAACCTTAATTACAATAAAAGAAAAAAGAAAGAGGGGGGGGGGGCGTGGGTGGGGGTTGTATGTGTGACAAACTTAACTTTTGCCTAAGGGGTGTAATGGATGAATTGAGCTAGTTATTTTTGTCATTGGGCAGTCAATGGAGTGAGAGGAACTTTGTGTGACAGGTGAATATGAGATGAGGGGTGGCTCTTTTGAAATGTCTTGGGGCATACACTCACTACTTTTCATGATCAGGGAATGTGGAGAATGACCTGTTTGATGTCTCTATGTTTGATGTCTCTAATAGCTAGGCCGTCTACTGCTATTGGTTCACCTGTCCTTGAGATAGTGTGTGTAGTTGAGTTTGGTTTGAGAGTCTCTTCCCACTCGTTTTGACACTTAAATGTTTACATTTGTGTGTTGTACTGGTGGTGTTCAGTGTAAAACTAATTATATATGTAAAAGAAAGCACTTGTCCCATGCAACATCTTGGCGTTCTGCTAACCAAAAAAATCTCTTCTTGCATTAGAAACCTGATGTTTTCGTGCGCCGTCTTCCTCGAGAGCTAGCATTCCGTTTTGGTTCAAGCACTGCTTGAGTGTATGGGTTATATGTTTTCATAATATATGCATGCTTGAATTTTGTTTAGAGCCAGTTTGTTATTGTGATTTATCAGAGGTTGAGTGGATGGTTGTATCTTCACTTAATATTTCTATGCTTAATATTTGTGTGCTGGTATTTTATTTCGAGTCAGTTCCTGTTTCATCTTTCCCAGTTGTCCTTATTTTTGAAAAATCTTTGGCCAGGTCACAAAATTTCTCACCAGACTAAGAAAATATTCAATATTGATTCAGGTGTTTTGCAGAAAGCCCATTCACCTTGGCAACATATGACTCTGTTGTTGAATACAGAAGGCTGTAGTGATGGAGGAAATGAGCCTGGGCATTGCAAAAAAGTGACAACCCCCATGGACATGCCTTAGAAACCTTTCTACTGCGAACTGAGGATGGGGATATCAGGTTTTGAATGAATAGATCATTTTCAGTTGACTGTTACAGCACTGCTTATTGCAATTCGTCTTCTATGAAATCCCTCCTCAGAAGCCATTATCGAGGATAACGGCATATGTCAAGCCTAATGCTGGGATTCTTTATGCCATGATACTGATTCTATTGGCATGTTGGTTCATGGTCACATTTTAGAGAGAGAATGCAAGGCCAAGTATCCATTAGTCGACATGTAAAGATAATCCATATCTCTGTTACTGAATTCTGTTGAAGTAAATGGTTTTGGATATACGGATCCTAGATATGGAGAGGAGAATGTATAGTTATTCTCATTTGTTGTCCCAAGTTAAGCATGACCCCCCTTGCCGTTTTAGGTGGCTGGTGGAGATGATTGAATAGGTTGTTGCTTAATTAATTTAAATGGATGTTACCACATTCAAGGGATGCATTTCAATTTGATACAACAATATATGGATTTATGGCAGCTAACATGAATAACTAATCTCCCATATGGAGTTTTTTCATTTGATCTTTTGGCTTCGCTCCAGAAATCAATGTATAATTTATCAATTAAGGACAGGAACCAATGGAATGATTGTCTGCTTCATATGTTCGCATGATTCTTTTCTGTAATTTGCTTTTGCTCATGTTACCAGGGTTATCCAGTTTATCTGAAAGCCGTGTCGCACAGCTGAGACATAAGCTTGGCGATCATACAATTGTCCACTTAGGGAGCACAAGGGCCAACACTCTTGGGTGAACAAAATGTTTTTTTGTTAAAAGGGACAAGAACGGAAACCTATTTCCCTTGACTGTTGCAATCTCTAGTTATACAGTATTTGATTTTACCATTTTACATCAAATGAGTAACAGTAAAAGCAAAGACATTACAAGAAACTATCACATACAAACAACACAACGTAACCTTTTATCCTGATCAAGCATTGATTGCAATTCCATTTGCCCAATACCTTACTCTTCAGCCTCTTCCTCGTATAGAAGATGCCATGCCGCAATCTCTAGTTATACAGTATTTGATTTTACATCAAATGAGTAACAATAAAAGCAAAGAGATCACAATAAACTATCACATGGACACAACACATCCTAACCTCTTATCCTGATCAAGCATGGATTGCAATTCTATCTGCCGAATACCTTACTCCTCTTCAGCCTCTTCCTCCTCCTGTAGAAGATACTCACGGTTGTCATGGGCCCAAAATCCCCGTACATCAATGAGCATTCCAGCCACAGTGCCCCCTTGCTTGCAGGCAAGGAGGTCCGCGAGTGTTATCTTAAGAGGGTCACTTGGCCTCACCATATCCCATATCTCATCTCTTACATCTTCTATGCAGAGCTCATAGTTACCACCCTCTATCCACTTCTGATGCACATCTCTATTAGAACAAAAGGAGAAGCTTGTTACGTGCTTCATAGGTGAAAGCATATATGTCAACAAATTTATTGTCAATTAATTCAAATGTCCTGTAATTTTGAGACTTGTAGAACTTTATTTCAGAACTACAAGCAGGAAAATTACAAGATTGATATAGGAAGATTGTATCAGGGTTAACATCTCAACTTCAGTATGGCCCCCTTCTTCTCTTCCATATTGAAATGCATATATAGAAGAAAAGGAAAAAAAAGAAAAATTTATGACTCAATTTGTGATTATTCTAATTAAAAACAGACGGGAAAACAAGAACTAGGTCCATTATCCAACATAGTCTACTGGCAGAGCACACAATAACTGATAGACTACATATGTTAAGGCAAATGCACATCCACCTTCTGTCACTGATGACAGCAGGAATTAGCCATTGTGGCGCCCATCATTGCATTCACTCAGGTGCAGTTGATGTCCACAATTGATCATCAGGAATTAAGGATTCATGCTCCCTTGGGGTACCATGTACCATCATACTGTAATAGATTAAAGTAAACTTCTAGTATGAAGGATCAATTTCAGTACCCATCTCTCTCTCTCTCTCACACACACACACACAAAGAGCATGTTCAGCATGTTCTATCTGCCGGGGCAGCATGCCTTTTCCCTCTAGAAAATGCAATGCTGAAGCTGGTCATTTTCCTAAAACCAGTTCTGCAACGAATCCATGATTAAATTAAACCCATCCTGGGTTTACAACACTTAAAAAACACTTATATCTGTGTGGGATTCCAATCAGAAACAAAATCCAATTTCCAAGATTATAAGAACACCTTTTCCCTCTAGAAAATGCAATGCCGAAGCTGGTCATTTTCCTAAAACCAGTTCTGCAACTGAATCCATGATTAAATTAAGCCCATCCTGGGTTTACAACACTTAAAGCACTCATATCTGCATGGGTTTCCCGAAAATGGAAGAATTTTTTACCTGAAAAGGGTGTGAATATCAGCTGTAACAAGGTATCCTCGTCCATGAAGATCAAGGCAGCGGAACAAATACGTCAAACCTTCAGTTGTGTGCTTGTTTTCCAAGGCTAAGACAAAGTCAAGAAAGCTTTCAAAGTCCATCTCTCGAGTATTTCCTACTCCGCCTTTACCACGACGGACATGCTCATCAAATGCTGAAGGCAATCAAGAAACAAGTGAGAAAGGATCTCCCTCTCTCTCTCTCTCT